CTGCACTCCAATCTGGGTGACAGAGTGAGACTCCAACTCAAAAAAATAAAAATAAAAAATGAAAAAATTAGGGAGAAGTGGTGGTGCACGCCTGCTGGCTCAGTTACTTAGGGGGCTGAGGTGGAAGGATTGCCTGAGCCCAGGAGCTCGAGGCTGGGGTGAGCCATGATTGTGCCATTGCACTCCAGCCTGGATGATCAAGTAAGACCCCAACTCAAAAAATAATAATAATAAAAAAATAATAATCAGGATTTCCTTTACCAAGTATCTTTCTTTTCACCTCATTCCATAAAAATAACTATTCTTTTGGGATGATAATTAACTTGGAAACACTTGGGCATAGAATATGTCCACCTCTATATTCTAACCAATGTGTTAGACATAAACACCCACAGATGCCTCTTTTATAACTGAATCGTTTTCTCACAGGAATTTCAAAAGGCCATTGAGTTGATTCCCCACTCTCTTCTCACACTCTATTTTGTTTTCAGCAGGACTATCCCTCACTCACTGGAGAAAAAAATGCCTTGGTGTTTTTCTATTTTTCATGTGAGTATAAAAAAAGATGACGTGTACACATGGTACATTGCAGCAGACAGAGCAGGGCCAGCAGGCTGAGTCTCAGTTTGGAGTAAACCCGGCGATCAATCAGCCACAGCTCACCTCTTTATCAATGTATGCCTTGTGGTCCTTCCAGGCTCGGGCTGATTGATACAGTTCTCTCTCACAATGGATTGTGTCATTGGGAAGAATAAAGCACCTGTGAAAAAAAACAAAAAACACAAGCAACAGGTTTGTATTCTAATATTAGAAAATATGAAAGATAGCAAAGAGAACTTTTTACGTCCTTAAGGTAGGTTCAAGCAGTCAGTGTGTAGCAGATCCAAGACAAGGGTCACTGGGAATGTGTCCTGGTGACTAGTGTGGGCAAAGGATGGTATCACATCTTTGTGACTAAGATCATCACTATGAAATTCACATTCCTATGAACAGATCCTGGCAAAAGATTCCATTTCAAATCTACATAGAAAAAGGAGATTTTTATAGACATGATACAAATGGCTTGTTTGAAAAAATGCAGTCAGAAGAGGAATATTTATTCCATTCATTTTATTAAAGAGAGTTTGCCTTAAGTATACTATTAAGTTTGTTTGCTCGTTTTTGAGTCAGGATCTTACTCCTTACACCCAGGCTGGAGTGCACTGGCACAGTCACAGCTCACCACAGACTCAACCTCCTGGGCTCAGGTGATCTTTTCACCTCAGCCTCCTGGATAACTGGGACTCTATAGGTGTACACCACCATGCCTGGCTAAATTTTTTATTTTTTGTAGAGATGAGGTTTTGCTATATTGCCCAGGCAGGTCTCAAACTCTGGGGCAAGCAATCCTCCCACCTTGGCCTCCCAAAGTACTGAGACTACAAGCATGAGTCTCCATGCTTGGCCCTCCATTCAGTTTTGAAGCAAAGAAATAGCCCCAAAGGATGGAGAACAGATGAGATATGGGTCAATCCGTAGTGCAAGGGAAATCAATTTTGGTCTCAACTTCTTAGCATATAACTGTAAAAACTACAGGCACAGGACAGTCCCAGACATTAAAATCCTGGCAGAGCTCACGGTGCACGATCTCCCCAACATGATAAAATTAAGGAAAAAACAAAAATCTTTGTAATAAGTTCAGGAACAAAATTCCTCTACTAAGAGAGTAATTAGGTTTTGGAAGGAGCCAAAGAACCATGTGAGCCCATTAAAGCCAGGAGGGTGTTACCTCCCTACCCTGTCTCTATGACCTCCAAGGCCCTCTCTAAGATCTGGGACAGGTTAAGTGTTTCCACATCTTACATTCATTCCTAACCTACACCATCTTCCTGGAAACTTCTCTGGAACTCACTGTCCTCCTTGGGCTGTGTTCCATTTCTGAGGCCGCGACTGTACGACTACTCTAAGCGACAGTGACCATGAAGCATGGAAGAGCCTCTACCGGCCTCTGAAATTGCTTCCATCTGTTTCCTAGCCGCCTACAAAGGTAATTGCTCAGGGGCACATACTCCACGCCTGCTAAGTCAAGATGTGACAGAATTACTTTGGCTGGATTTCCAGCAGATCAACCTTAATGTGAAATCAAACCCAAAGCACACGTCCAAGTTAATGACTATTTGAACTCCTATGGCTTCTTTAACCCCCAGCTGCCACGTAGGCCAGCCCTCAGGCACTGAATTGCCGAGGGATACAACTTTTTGCAAAGTGCAAAATGGTGGCAATATGGCAGAGGCAGGGGGCTAACACCGAATCCAACCCCAGTGAGCCCCTAACACCTCCTTACTTGTGTGTCACCCGGACCGTGGCGGGCGGGCCCACCGCGTTGCTGCCATCTGCCAACATCCCATTCCTGTTGCCACCCCTGGAAGCCTGGAGACCTCCTGGCCCCCGGTGGCCTTCATCCTGACGCTTGGCAATGTTTCTTGGTTGCAACACCTGCAATTCTTCTTCTTCCAGATTTATGTCGTATATTTCGCCTTCAAATTCGACGGACAAGGAACGTGTCTGCCGGGTATGGACAAATCTGGGCTTGTACTCTGGAAATAAGGGAAGATAGGTTAATGCGGATGTGCTGATGCGGTGTAGGAGGGAAGAAAATGATCATCTGGCACTGGGAGGATCTTGGAGGGGCAAGTGGTGCATGGCGCCTCGCTGAGAGGCATCGTGGTGCTATGGACGGCCAGTAAAGTTCACGGTGCCAGAGGTTGAGTTCTTGTCCTGACGGTGCCGATGCATGGCAGTGTGATGAATGACACACTTCTCTGGGCCTCCAGTCCTTCTTTCCTCAAGTGAGGGGGCAGGTCTGAGTGATCTTTCGGATCCTTTCTACTTAGGGCAGGCTGTGAACGTCTACATTTAGTTTTCGATGTGAATTGCTAGGGCAGTTGGGATAAAACTATATTCACCATTATGGTGTTAATAATAATGGCTATATCCTTTACTGAGTTTTTGCTCTGTATTACATGCCTTATATTTATCTCTAATCCACAGTCTTGAGCGACCGGTATTATTATAAAACCCTTAATAAAAAAATATCAGGTTGTCAGAACAGGCTCATGACCTGGGTGATATCACTCTTACTTTATGGATGAGAAAACTGAAGCCATAGGAGTTCATACGTTTTACAAGGTTATGGAACTAAAACTGTAATCTCTCATATAACAAAGTCTTACTACTGCATCGGGCTGCTTTAAGAAAAGTTCAGTTTTGCTAATGCTTTTATCATATGATTGCCTTTTCTTTTTTCTCTTTGTGACAGGGTCGTGCTTTGTCACCTAGGCTGGAGCACAGTGGCATAATCATAGGTCATTGTAACCTTGAACTCCTGGCTCAAGTGATCCTTCCACCTCATCCTCTAGTGTAGCTGTGATTATAGGTGCACCACCATGCCTAGCTAATTAAAAAACTTTTTTTTGTGGAGACATGGTCTCACTGTGTTGCCCAGGCTGGTCTTAAACTCCTGGCCTCAAGTGATCCTCCCACCTCAGGCTCTCTAAGTGCTGGGATTATAGGTGTGAGCCATAGTGCCTGGCCTCCAACTGACTTTTCATACTTGGAAGAGGTAGGGTAAGGTGGGGAATGGGAGGGAGGAGCATGTTTTCTGGTGACTTTGGTACCTTCTCAAGAGCTCATCTGTGCTGGATGAGAACTTTAACGTGCAAACACTGATATGCACTCAGGCTTTAATGAAGGCAAACTGTTCATCAGATGCACTCAGGCTTTATGAAGGCAAACTTATCTGGTCTTATCTCTGCAGCCTGCTGCTGAAATAGGTAGAAGGGTGCACACTGGCTGTGGAATCAAAACTGCCATTCTGAGACAGCTCTCTGCAGGACCCTTGCAGCTTCAGATGAGGTAGCAGCCTCTGTTACAGTTTGGAAGTCACTGAGAGTGCTTGAGTTCCACCCTTACAGAGAGGGGGAGAATCATCTCCTGCTTGCAAATACACAAGATTCCAAATGGTTTGAAAAGTTGCTCTAGGCTTCAGTTTGTGCCTAACGTTGAAAACTCGATATGCTTGATGGTCAGTAGCTGGGAAATGATGTCTAACTTTCCGGAAATAAGGGGGGTTGTCGTGTGCTCCAATGGCTAAGCTGAATGTTGGTGATCAGCTTTGGATTAAGAAGTATGAGTGGGGTCCTCGTCCCTTGCTGATTTTCAATTTGCTATCCTTGTATGAGTTTTTAAACTGGGACTTTTATCTCAGGTTTGTTTCTGTCTCTTGGTTCTTAGCCTTTTGGCTTATGGATCCTTTAAAAGTTTGTTTTAAAGTGTTGACTTTAAGAAAATGTGCATATACACATAGAATACTTGTATACTTACAATTTTGGATCAAATATCAGGGGCTCATGACCCTAAAGCCCATATTGTGGAATCCAGAGTAAAAGTGCCTATTCTAAGGACTTTCATTGTTCTAGAGGATGATCTGATTTCCAAATCTTAGACCAATAATTGAATTTAATGCACGAGGGGGACTCCCCCCCCAAATAAACTGGAATTATCTTTTTGGAGGGCAGGCCCTTCGTCGTACAGGCTTCCCGTTAGGTGAGTGTTCCAGGAACCCAGCGGCATCAGTGTACCAGCTACCATTATTGTAAGAGGCTAAGTTTGGCTTTAGCGCACTTTTTTTTGAGATTCTTTCAACGCATTTGCCCATTTCATAATGGGTGATTTACAAGCACACCGTTCTGCGTGTTCAGCAGTTTTTGACCCCAAACGGCATGATCCCCGTACCCCACCCTCCCTATTCACCCGATCTTTCCCAAAGTGAAACGTTTTGCCAATGGGGAAGAGGTGAAACAAAAACAGCAGAAGCACTAAAAGGCATCAAAACTGACAAATTCAAAAACTGTTTTGAGCAGTGGAAAAAGCATCTCGATAGGTGTATTGCATCAAATGAAGAGTACTTTGAAGGTGACTAAAGTTTAAACATGTAAGAATAAATACACACTTTTAAATAAATAAATTCCAGGTTTTTTGGGTCCCCCCCCATATTGCTTATTTCCAAACCAGCATAGAAAGGAATCACCACAGCATTGAGTCTCTTCTCATATTACTCCACTAGATGGCACTAGAGTCATTCTTTTGTGGAAGCCTGCGGGTTTTCACAATTATATAATCATAGGTTTCTCCTAGCTGCCTGATAAGAGATTTTGTGAAGAAAACACTAGGCAGTGCTTTCCATACTGAATTCAACTAGCTTGATCCTGCTAGTCAACAAGATCCAACGATTTGACAAATACATATATTGTCCTAAAACATAGGTTAAATATACACCTTAAAAAAGTATTGATGCCTTTCCTTTTAAATTAAAAGCGCACATTGAAATCTCAGACTTATTATTTTCTTAAAGCAACTTAAGGCAGACACATCAGGACATCAGCATTAAGGTAAAATAAAACTGACCTAAACCATACCCTTTACCCTTTGCAATAACTGCTTTAGAAGCTACTTATGTGTGCATATGTTTTGCATCTGGTGCTTTTACTCACTATATTTTCATTCTAGGCTTAAGTGAAAATGTTTACAAAGCAAAATTTCAAATTGATCTTAGTGTTCCTATTGTAAATAAAATGCTTTGCTTTCAGCCCCCAAACTGCATTGATAATATCTAAAATGTAGAAAGAGCAACCCTTTTGTCTCTCTACCATCCATTCCCAAAGGCCTGGGCCTGCCATTGAGGTGGTCACAAAAGTGTGGCTTACTTGGAGTCCCCTGGTTTCTCAGGAACTGCCTCTGACTCTTCCTCTGGCTTCTGCTGGCGCGATAACCAGGCTCCCTGCAACTGCACTCTTTGTCCTTGTCATGGAAGCCACGAGAGTAGAGGTTACGCGTGCTCTGCCGGACGGTGAGCAGGTCGCTGGGTCCTTTGCACTTGTGAATTCGAAGCTTGCCAGATGGATCCTCAATGCACTGCCACTTCTGCAAAAGCCAACGTGAAAGCCGTTTACTAATGCTGATCCAGGTGTTATTTGTTAAGGGCTGCTGTATGAGATTTTTCCTTTTTCGTTCTTCCTTCCTTCCTTCCTTTCTTTCTTTTCTTTTCTTTTCTTTTTTTTTAGCAGAACTGGTAATACCATTGAATAAAGTGAATAAAGAAAGGCAAGCTTTTAAGTGACCCTGCAATAACTCAACTCTCAGTTCTATCACTTATTTCTTTCTGTAGGCAAATATAGATGACAAGAAACCACTAGAAATCAAACGACCTCAATGATGCTAGGCACCACAATTGATATATGTAGCCTCAGCATTGCAGACTAAACAGTCTTGAATGAAACATGCAAAAGCCCTTAGTTCACCACGACACAGAGCACAGCTGTCAGGGCTGCGTTCACCAGACCCCTCTGGCTCTGGAAAAACAAACATGGCTGCTTTGTTCTCTGCTCCTGAATCCTAATGTGAGCCAGGGAAGAATGGCACGTGAGGAAGACAGGGATGAGTTTAATCAGAGCCCATCACAGGGTGAGCCAACTCTCCTGTACCCAGACATTAGCAAACTTGTCAAGTTTCCTTCTGTGTCTTTTCTTATCCATCTGCAAACTTCTGCAAACTTTGCAGAGCATGGGCAAGCTCCTAGGAGAGATGGGTTCACCTTCCCAACACACACACACACACAATGACTTTCAGTTTGAGCTTCCTATCAAGCCTGCTACAGGTGACTGGAGATTCCCTTCCGAATAAATATGACACTGCACCAGGAAGTGTCCTTACAGGTCTTGAATGTCAGCCTGGCTGAAATAGTAACCCCTTGCCCTGGGGGCCATTTCATGGTATCTTCCACATCTTATTTAAAGATCTAATAATTTTTACATTTTTTTTCCCCTTTCTCTTCCCTAAAAACTTAATTTGGGAGGCAGGAAGAATATTTAATTTTAAGTTGACCACAGTTGTTACAATAAGCTAAAATACAGTGTTATCAAGCTTTTGTTTTTTTCTTTCTATATAGGACTATCACCTGTTCAATTATTATTTACCAATACTTTTATTTAAATGGTGCATTTTAAATATACATATAAATATATATGGAGTGTAGTGACATGACCCCGGTTCACTGCAGCCTTGACCTCCTGGACTCAGGTGATCCTTCTACCTCAGCCTTCTTAGTTGATGGGGTTACAGGCAGTCACCACCATTTTTTGTAGCAATGAGGTCTCACTATGTTGCCCAGGCTGGTCTCGAACTCCTGGGCTCAAGTGATTCACCCACCTTGGCCTCCCAAAGTGCTGGGATTACAGATGTGAAGCACCATGCCCGGTGGGAATCATTTTTAAACTAGGACCAATACAACAACATCTGCACTGTAAAATTATGTGTTTGTGTGCCACTTATGTATTTTAAAATACATTAAAATAAATAAATAATTATTAAGTAAAAGATGCTCTTTTACACACCATTTAAAATGATCTTATATCCCCCTGCTGTCTGGTACCATACTTTGGATGACATCTTGGTTATAAAGTGCAAGATGAAGTTTGACCAAAGGTTCCAGATGGCTTTGTCAGTAGACAAGTGACATTCGTGTACAAAATGGCCTATGACCATTCACAATGAACCAAGATGTAGAATCATGTCTTTTTTTCCTCTTACTTAAGGTAGTTGTATGTCTTCAATACATGCTGAATTATCAGAACTGCTTTTGGGTTTCTATTGTATAGTTTCCAAATCTCAGATACATAGGATTTATTCTATGACTTTGCTTTAGTCCCCTATCCTCTTGGTGCTACTGAATTTGGTTATTTCAAGCCATATCAGGTTACAATCTTTTGTGGCTTGGCTAGAATGTCTTAAAAGTATAACATCTTTATCCAGAGAATCGGGCGTTGAAGAGACAGGCAACTAACGATAGTCATTCCTCGCTATCCACAGGGGATTGGTTTCAGGATGTCCGTGGATACCAAAACCCGCAGATGACTTAACTAAAAAAAGTCAAGTCCCTGATATAAAATGGTGTAGTATTTGCATATAACCTGCATACATCCTCCCGTATACTTTATCCCTAGATTACTTATAATACCTAATACACTGTAAATGGAATGTAAATAGTTGTTATATTGTTTAGGGAATAATGACAAGGAGAAATCTACATGTTCAGTACAGATGAAACCATCCTTTTAAAAACAATATTTTCAATCAACTGTTGGTTGAATCCATGGATGCAGAACCTAGGATGCAGAATCCACAGATATGGAGGGTGGACTGTATTTACAAAGCCAAGAAAGGTATCACAAACACCAATAATCTAAGGACTAAGTTAGAGATGACTTAACTAAAAAAGTATGAAGTAGGTTTGGTTAAACAAAGGGAGTTAAGTCAGATGAGTGGTTCTCAAACTTGGCTGGACATTGGGATTCACAGAAGCTTCCCAGATGATTCTAATATGCGGTTGGGGTTAAGAGCCAATGCTTCATATTAGCAACTGCTTAGTGGCCCTCTTTGCAGCTGGATCCTGTGGGAAAGACATAAGGAATATCTTTAGGTCTAAGTAGATCAGATGCATGGGTTATGAGGTATACATGTGTTTGCTGTAGTGGTATGTGCAAAGCCAACTGTGTCTAGAAATGTATGGGTGTAACCAGGTCAGAAAATGACTCGAGTTTCATGGATCTATCAGCACATCTATGTGAGTGGGACTATATGCTTTATTTTACTTTATTTTATTTTTGAGTTGGAGTCTCACTGTCGCCCAGACTGGAGTGCGGTGGCCGCTCCCAGCCACCGCAGCCTCGACCTCCTGGGCTCCGGCGATCCTTCCACCTCAGCCTTCCAAGTAGCTGGAACTACAGGCGCGTGCTACCATGCCCGGCTCATTTTTTGATTTATTGTAGAGATGAGGTCTCGCCTGCCCAGGCAGGTCTCGAACCCGTGGGCTCAGGCAATTCACTCACCTCAGCCTCCCAAATGCTCGGGATTACAGGCTGAGCCACCGAACCCGGCTCTATGTGCTTTATTTAAACTTAGCCAGTTCTCCCCCTTCTCTCTCCACAGTTAGTTGACAAATGACAGAACTTAGACTTAGCTGAAAACCGCACGTGGCCTGTTCATGGTTTTGCCAGTTAATATGCAGACCAGTGGTTTCTAGGCCTGGGCTTGTGGCACTCACAGATACATCCAATTAGCTTAAAGTGCCATGAAATTCTTAAAAAGGTTCTCAGACACTGAGAAACAACTCCATTAAGAAATAACTATATCCCATCTAAAATTCTTTCTGGTGAAAAGTGTCACTGAAATGACTTTTCAAGCTTCAAGAAGTTTGGGAATTAGTGGTGCTTAAGAGTCTATCTAACCTCATCTCTACAATAAATCAAAAAATCAACCGGGCGTGGTAGCGCATGCCTGTAATTCTGGCTACTCGGAAGGCTGAGGCGGAAGGATCGCCGGAGCCCAGCAGGTTGAGGCTGCGGTGGCTGGAAGCGGCTATGCACTCCAGTCTGGGCGACAGAGTAAGACTCCAACTAAAAAAAAAAAAAAAAAAAAAGAGTCTATCTATATCTATGTCTGTCTTAAATCCAAATGGTTTAAGGCTTATCCATCTACCTGGATAATCTCTACCTCAAGTTTTAAAAATGAAGAATTGACTATCCAGTGCCTAGAGTAGCAAAATAATTGGCCAGTGGATTCATAGTCCACAGCCAAGTAGAGGCTTGAGAAGAGCTTTATCTTCTATCTGATAGGAATGTGTTGTTAATTTTATTCTTGAAAAATAATGGTCTAAAGTCTAATGGTGGTTCCAATGTATATCAACTTTAGTGCCAATGCTAATTTTTAAAGCACTGACTGTAGTGAAGATCTGTAGTTTTATAATCACAATGTATTAAAAAAATTCTGCCTGTTTTGTTGTTTGCTTTTGGCTTGGAGGAGCTGAGGGTACAAGTAGATTCCTGTAGAACACAAAGGTGTAGGCAGATGTTTCAGTGACTTAGGCTATTTGGAATCCTAGCTGAGTCTTCCCATTAGCCAAATTCCCTGTTGATTTCCTATGGGATCAAGATGAAGGGAAAGGGTGTTTCCTTCCTGAGTAGTTTAATTTAACCACACTGGCTATCTGGCATGTCCTTGGCAGTGATGCTATATTCTACAAAGTCAAATATACATATGTGTATTCATGTCTGTGTATTCATACAAACACACACACACGCACATATCCGTACACACTACATATATTCACATTTCTACACACATACTTGGCTAAAGCAAGAGCCACTAACACAAATGCCAATTATTTTCTCTACCATAGACCCTTCAAAAAAGTCATAGACCCTATTAGATAAAGTAATTAGCCAGAGGTTTTGAAAATCTTCTTAGTGGCAAGCATACTAGGAATTCTAATGAAATGTAATTACCACGCATTGCCACAGTCATTTTAGAGCTCGATATGATGACAATTTTTATGACTGCAATAAAACCTTGAAATAGCTGCAACTCAAATGGTGACCGTACTTAGAGAGCTTATAGAGGGAGGCGGAGAAAGAGCATTTTTAAAAGAATTGTTCTGAAACTCATGTGGCAAGCCACTGAAGTGGTCAAAATAATGAGAAAAGGAGATTCCACCACAGAAGAGTTTGGGGAATCAGATGGAAGCCTGAGTACAAGTGAGGCACCCACTAATGGGGTGTGGAGTTGGCCTCAGAAATGAGCTTTGTACAAATGCCCTGGCAGAAATACCACTGTCATGCTGTCTTGCTTTTATCTACGCTCTTGAAATTTATCAGTAAATAGGTTAATTGCCAAATCTGATCATCTTCATGTTCACTAATCACTCACTCCTGCAAATTCCCTCCCTGCTTTCTGGGACGACATTATTTCAATTCTCCTCCTGCCTCTCTGATGTGTCAGTCTATGCCAGTAATTTAGCACACATTCATTCCATATATATATATCTTCATGCCCACTGTGAGTGAGGAGCTAAATAAAATTATTTAAAT